GGGCCCGCGGGTCAGTCGCTCCCTCTGCCCCTCGTCCCCCAGCTGTGCCTCTTCCACGGCGTGCAGCGCCCGCTCTCTCGGGCGGGAGGTGGTTCGGATGCGCCTGGCTCAGCACCATCTTTGGACCGTTTCAAGAGGAGGAAGGCTGGAGCCCTTCCCCTCCCTGGCCGCCTGGCTGGCCGTCCCTCCCCTGCTCTCTAATCCTTGTGACTCCCTTTGCATTTGAGCTTTTCCCTGGAAGATCTGTGAATGCCCAGAATTATTTACACATTCGCTGGCGCTGTCCTTACCATGGAATTGCTGCCTTGAGGGACTGTGTCTCAGCAGACCCAGTAGGAAAGAAAACTCCCCACGCTACCACCCACACGCTGTTTAATTTTAACGGGCACATACACCCCCTCTCCCAACGATGCAGTAATTCTCCCCTCCCCTTGGGCTGGCTGGGCTGGGCATTGCAAGCTCCTCAGCAATGTCTTTTCCCACCAAGGTGATGAGCTTTCCCGGGCAGCAGAGCGGGCAGGGGGAAGTTGGGGCTGCCTTGTCCCTGACAGCGAGAGCAGACGTGGCTGGCTGCGAACGGAGCTGCCTTTCCCGCCCTCCGCACTCTCTGCTGCCCTCCGGCCACTGGGGGCTGCGCGTAACACCAGTGGGTCCGTAATGGAGTGCAAGGATGGAAACAAGCCGTACGGACTGTCTCTTTATTCACTTTTTAGCCTGCAAAGAGATTACAGGACTCTCACATGCAGTGGCCTGCGTGTTTACGGACACCCACGCTGTAAAGCCTGGGGGACCCAGGCGTTTCGCTGCTCCCTTCCCAGGCTGTAACGCTCAGCCTGTCTCCCTGAGCCTGACCTGTCCTAGAGGCTCCTGCTCCCCGTTTGTGGCCGAGTGGTGTGTGTCGGGCTTCACAGTACCTGGAGCTGCACAAGGGTACAGGCGAGGGCAGGGCGAGCCGCAGAACAGCGCTGCGGGCACCGCGCTCCGCCAGCCGCGGGCCGTGCGACGCAGGAATTGGTGCTAAACTGGGGAGTCGGATTTTGGGACCGCGGAATCATGGGATCGGCTTTGTACATGCTGGAGCTGAAGTCACCTTCCAGGCTGTCGAGGTAAGATTGAGCGTGGAGGATCGTTTCCTGGTGATGGTTCAAGGCTTTGCGGGCACGGACATCACTTACATCAACCGCTCGCGCATGGAAGGGCATGAGGTTTTGAACCGGCTGCTCGTTTTTAGGCCAGGTAGGTAGAAGGAGCAGGAGCCCGTGGTCCCTTCGCACGCTGGCTGTGCGAGGAAGGGAACTGTGTTGTTCCGGCTGCTATCCCCTACCCCAAAGCATGAAGGGAGCCCAAAGCATGAGGATCAGCATCTTTCCAGGCACCGCCGGGTGGGAAACGCACCGTTTGCTTCACAGCATCGTCTCCAGCTCTCTTTTCAGGCTGGGGTGACGCTGATTCAGGTCTGTGAAGTCCCCTATGTTGTCCCCGCAGGCTTTCTGGCTCATCTCCTGGGGCGGACAGGGTGAAAAGTTCCCCGAGGCAAAGGAGCTGGGGACGTAGCCCGGCAGGCTGGCCCGAGCAGGGAGCAGCAGCCCGCGCTGCTGCGTGCTCCCGGCCCCTCGCCCCGCGAGGCTCATGCTGAAGCTCGTGGTGGCGTGGGAGGCCAGCCCGCCGTAGCAAGCTCCCCGCCGCGCCGGTGGCACGCGCCTTCTGCTTGAAGTCCAGCGCCAAGCTTCTCCGAAAATGGGCTTTCTTGATCTCCGCCTGCACCTGAAGGAGAGATCAGAGATGGCTGCTGGTGCCCAGAGGCAGCAAAACAGGCATCCCTTCCTTTCCCCATGGTTTTCACTCCTACTGATTTTTTTTTTTTTTTTTTTTTTACGCAACTAGATGTAGGTATTAAGAGGGATGGATCCAAGTTTTCTCCTCCGGTTATCCCAGCCTGGGGGCTGCGGGTTAACTTTGCCGCCCTTAAAAAGGCTGGAACAGGGAGTTCAGCTGCTCAGGCTTCTAACTTACCTCCCCGTTGCAAAAGCAGTAGATAAAAGCCACAAAGAAACCCTGCCAAAAGAGACAGAGGTGGAGTTTGAGACCTGAGCCGGGATGCCGTACGTGTTCCTCGCCCCTTCCCGGATGAGCACCGCTCGGTGTTTGGAGCAGGCAGGCAGCCCCGTGGCGGCGTACCTGAGAGGAGTTAAAGAGCATCTCGTAATGCATCTGGATCTGCCACAGGACCCCGGAGACTTCGGTGTAGGGCATGGCCATGAACACCACGTAATGGACTCCAAAAAGCGGCATCAGCACCAGCGTGGACTTGAGCAGTTTCCTGAGAGGAGAAACGCTCTGAGCCGCTAGCCGGGACCTGCCAGCCAGCCTGCAGCCCCCGTGCAGGCGTTGGGAGGCGTCCTAGCGGAGAGGGCAGTCGCTTTAGGTTCTGCTGCTGCTGCCGTGGCTGGTTTGTGCATGTGTCCAGCTTGGAGAAGCGAGCAGGCAGAGCTTGAACTCCTGAGCCTGCCGTGCTGCTCAAACTGAGCTGCCAGAAGCGCCGGCTGCCATCGTCTGCCACCCTCCCTCCCTCCTGCAGCCATTCCTGCGCCTCTGCTCTTGGTTCACGACGCCCTGGGGAGCCACCTCAGCTCAACAGGCTGAAAATGAGCCAGACCAGGGCCAGGCCACGGTTTTGCTGCTGCCAGCACTTGCCTGTACTGCTGCCGGGGGTCCAGCTTCCCCGTGTTCGTCTCCCAGAGCTTGGAGGCCAGCACCCGAACGATGTTGAGGAAGAGGAAGAAGTTCACCTGCCGACAGACACCCGCTGCGGTTTTGTGGCCGCAATGACCTCGGGTCTGCCCGAGCAGCCCCCGGCACGAGGACAGGCAGTTCTGGGTGAGCTGCAGGCAGGGACGTGGGGGTGATGCTGTGGTCAGAGCAGGAAAGGGACCGGTGCCCCTGGATCCCTCTGCATCACCTGGGCCCTCCCTGTGTGCCGGGGTGGCTGGGGACACAATCCCAGTGACCACAAGCGAACAGCTCTGGGTCTCTGTTGATCCCCTTTCCCCAAAAAAGAATTGGGAGATTCAGCCCCGGGATTCTTACCACGATGGCGGCCAAGATAGGGACTTGATAAATCCACTTCATGTTCCCTGCGCTGAGGTCCCAGCACCTGAAGAGACCAGTAAAGAAACACCTTGGAGAAACCTGAAATCACTGGTAAGGAAAATTGCCAGCTGATGGCTCCTTGTATCCCGCAACCAACATCCCCATCCTCCCACCCTTCACTCCCTTCGTGGAGTTTGTGGAAATCTTGACCCAACTGCAGCCATGCTACAAACGTTCGTAACCATCACAGTGTGGCAAATTAGTTTTAAATTAGCACTGATGTTCCTGAAGGCTCCTCGGCCAACTCATCCAAACCTCCTGCTGTAGGTTTGGTGGCCTTTCTCCTTTCAAAATGCTTAACTCTAGAACATGCCCTTTAGCATTCATCTTTACATTGTTTATTGATTAATTTACGGTGTAAACCTGCATCCCTCTTCCTCCCAAATGCAGAACAAAACCACTATCGGTTTGGATTACTGAGAATTTTGTGAACAAGCCTTGTACATGTGCTCCCTCCTCTTACTCTTTCTGGAAATTTTCGTTTTCAAAAGTTCGGGTGCCCACAGGTATTTTGGGAACATTTGCAACCAGTCTTTCCCTCCCCAAAGGACTGTCGGAGAAGGTGGACCTACGTACTGTGTATCTGCCAGGGAGGCCCTGACGCTGGCCCAGACAGACACAAACACAGCAGGGAGACCTGGAGGGGCAGGAACCAGAGTGAGGAGCACGGACGAAGCATCGCGTTTGCAGACTGAAGCAGTTCCTGGCAGCTGGTCTGCATCCCACTGCCCTTATCTGGGCACTCGGTGCCGCTCAGCCACGGCTGACGCCACAGTTCCCAGCTGGTCTCAGGGGCCACAGCGTGGGGTTGGGGTCCGTGCTTACCCCAGCCGATGATGATGAGGACCCACAGGTAGCTCTTGTTGGAGAGGAAGGCCATGAAGATCAGGCTGTGAAGGTAGAGACCTTCCACCAGGATCCAGTAGTGGTTGGTGGCCAGAAAATAGAGGAAGAGAGTCACCACCACCTTGCAGCCAACCTGTCAGAGAGGTGCCCATATCAGGCTGTCCCCTGAAAGCAAAACCTGGTGGCTTTTGCCCTCTGGCCAGCAAAACCCAGGCTGTGCCCCACAGGTGGCTCACGTTCCTCCTCTTGCAGGGAGCTACATCTCCCTGGGGTGTTCCAGCGTCAGACGTAGAGCAGCTGCTCTAGGTCTTTCCCACAGGAGAGGTATTTCCCGTACCAGGGCACTCGGAGCTCAGCCGGCCTGCGAGACCGATGTCCCCTCTGGCTCTGATCTCTACTGTGATGCCAGGATGGGGAGAAGCTGGGCAGAGCTGTAGGTGGGCCCTCATCCCTCCCCAACTGCACCGCCCCTGAGCAGCACAGCCCCGATCTGGAAGGATGCCAAGCGCATCCCCCTGCACCAAGGCTCCTAAATCCCCTTTTCCCCTGATCCTGCCTCTGGTCTCGGCGCGCCACTTGCCAGGTGGCTCCGTTGTCCTGGCGAGGGACCCATTTCTGCCTTGAAGTCGTCCTCCTGCATCTTCTCCGTCTCGCTGGCCAGCGTGTTTGAGTAGAGCACCATGTCCTTCACGAAGATGAACACCGCCCGGCAGATGAAGGAGGTGAAGAGGTGGACGTGGATGTAGTTGCGTGTGCAGTGCAGGCGCCTACGGAGAAGGGGGGCGACATGAGCCCAGCCCCAGCTGCCCAACAGCTCATCACATGTGGGCTCAAGCCATTGGGGGAGTCCCAGAAGTGACCTCCAAGGTGTCAGCCCTCCTGTGGGCACAGAAGCCAGATCTGGGGTCAAGGGGGGTGTCAACACCTTCAAGAGCAGGGTGGCGCGGGTGGGGAGCTGGTCATACCGGGGCTGGTTTGGGCTTTGGGAAATTGTCTGACGTTTGTGGTGGGGTTTGGGGCCTGTTCCCGCTCCCTTAGGGGCTGCTCCCCCTCAGGGGATTGTGTGCGGGCGATGGGGAGAGGATGGTTCTCCCCGACATGGGGATGGGGCTTTGGCTTCTCCTTACTTGAAGTACGAGAGGATGCAGACGGCGACGATGAGGGAGGCCAGGGAGATGGAGTAGCCGACGGTGTACATGAGGTGCAGGCGGTCAAACACCTCCTGGAAGAGAAGGGCTGAGCTCCATGACCCCTCTGCAGCCCAGGCTCCCCACGGCCTCTGGGCTGAGAGCACGGGGGTGCAGGGCTTGTTTGGGGAGCGGAGGGGGAAGAGCCCCCTGCTCCCAGCCATTCCCCTGGCCTTTGCTGCACTCTTCCCAGGTCCCCATCCCGACCCCTTTTCCCAGCACCCTTGACATGAAAGGTCACCTTCTCGCGGCTCCGGCTCTCGGAGGAGAAGAGCAAAGCGCATTCGGTGTAATTGGCCCAGGTCTTGTTGGTGCTGAGAGCCATGGCCCAGGTCCCGTAGGCGCTGCAGTACCTGTAGGCATGACCTGGGAACGGCGACGGGGGCTGTGACAGCGGAAGGACCCGCGGGAAGCCTGGACACACCTCCCTGCTCAGTGGAGGATTATCACCGAGAGGAGGTCGCTCCCCGCCCAAGCACAAGCACTTACCCTTATGGTTGAAGTCGTAGATGTAGTCGGGGCAGGGGACCGCCACCTCCTGGCTGGGGGAGCCCTTTGGCCAGCAGATAATCCCGTCCCACTCTGGAAGGCAGCTGGTGTCTGGCCAAAGAGCAAAGACACGTCTCGCGTCTCAAAGAGGGCCGGGGCGTGCCGCCGGCTTCCCCAAGCGCGCGCTGGACCAGGGCGAGGAAAACGCTGCCACACGATCGCCCCTGGCCTGCAGAGCAGGGGGAGCCGCGAGGGGGCCGGGCAGGGGGACACGTCCCATCACATCCCACCTCCTCCAGGGATGGCCAATGCCCCTTCACTGCTCTCCATTGTGGTGTGCGGGGGGCGGTCTGGAAAATGGGGCGGCCAGCGCTGGCTAATCAGGGTGATGATCTGATTAGTGCTTAATTGTGCCCAGAGCAGCCAGGGTGCCAGGAGCTCTGCAAGCCCTCAGGAGCCATGTGTCCCTGGCCCCATCCCACTCCCATGGGAGGGGACAGCATTTCCCACGATGTAGCCAGCACCGCTGGGCCATGCGCAGGGGAGGGACACTACCTTTGGTCTGCTCCAGCTGGGCTTTTATGTCTCTCTGACATTTCTCCTTAGCTTCTACCAGGAGATAGATCTGCTCTTCTTTTGTGAGAACATCATCGGGGTCAATCTGCCAAGACAAAACCGAAGTGATGACCCCACCGCCTCCACGTGGCTTGGCTCAGCCTGGCGGTGTCAGACGGCAGCTGGGCTCAGGTCTCTTCTTTGTGCTCACAATTTAGAGATTTATCCTCCCTGGAAGACCTCGACCCACCCTGGTGATCTCCATGTCCCCCGAGAGCTGCTCGGTGACATTAGCCACCTGTGGCTGGGACCCAGGATCCAGGAGCTGGGAGCGAAGGTGCTCTGTCCCAGCAGCACCCTGAAGGTGGCTGATGAGACACCCTCAAATGCTTCCTGACTTGGGGCAGGACCCACGTCGCTTCTGCTGCCACGAAACACCCTGTTTCTCCCTGTCACCGATGCCTGAATCCACCAGCCAATTAACACCAAGTCCAAAAGCACAAGGGGCTCAAGGGCCGTTATGGGAACATCATCTCCTGACATGGAAACGCCGCTTTGCTGAACCCCGCAGCGTGGTGGTGTCGCCCATTGACTCATAGCGTGGAGCAGGACCATCCTTGGGACAAGAAATGAAGGTCAAAGCCTCTTCAAGAGACGGGCAGAGAAGACAGGAGCGCAGGTGGAAAATGGACGTGCTGGTAGGCAAAGCTCGTGGAACAGCCGCGGCACAGCCGTGGTCTCCCAGCCCTCCCCAGGTGAGTCAGGTCTGCGTGGCTTTGGGCAGCTTCAAACAACATGGGGAAGAGAAAAGCGCTGCCCGCCTTCCTGCCCTCATTTTTCCCCCTTACAAGGCTGAAGCTGGCCACAAGCTGCCCCTTTCCACCCTGTCCGTGGTCCACATGCACGTCCGTTCGTGTTTCTGTGCTAGAAATTCATGGCACGTCGGGCTTCTGCCCCGGCTCCCTCCCACCCACCCCACCAGC